TTTACACCCAGAGTCCCAACCTTTGTGTGCCACTCAAAAAAGACCAAAAAGTAAATAAATAAATAAGTGGGGAAGAAAGTCCAAAGCAAGAACGTCCAACCTTCTTAAAAATGCAACAGCGTGGACAACACTTTATCGCGGTTATGCAACCCTTCCTACTCTGTTCCTTAAAGCTGCTGCCTGGCATACATTTTTAAAGGAAACCATCATTAACATGTTTTAATCTGTCATAAAGGGACTTCTAGATTCATACCTATACACCAGCGAGTGGATCAGTAACTCATTTAGCATACATGTGACTGAGAAACGGATCTCAATCAGGCAGGGAGGCACTGTGAGATCAGAGAAGCACAGCTGATTTTCACCTCTAGGTTCTGATTCCACTTCATTGCACAGCGGTTATACCTTCATGTTACCCAGAACGATACCTCTGACAAAGTTAAGTCTACAGGACATTATTTAACAAAAATGTTCCCCCCCCACCCGAGTTATTTTTCTAAAAAAACATCTGTTCCATCCATAGTGGGTGCATGCAGTCTTCCAAAAAATAAACACTGCTTCGTGAAGATACCTGTAGGCAACCTAGGATGCTGCAACACCCAAACTGCAAAGCACTAGCCTAATGAATGCTGTTGTTCAGTTGCTAAGTCATGTCCTGCTCTTGTGAGACCTACAGACTATAGTCTGCCAGGCTTCTCTAGGTCCATGGGATTTTCCAGGCAAGAATACTGGAGCAGGCTGCCATTTCCTTCTCCAGGGGATCCTCCTGACCCAGGGATGAAACCCGAATCTCCTGCACTGGTAGGTGGCAAAACGGTGGAGTCTACCACTGGCCACCAGGGAAGGCTAGCCTAATGAATAGGAGGGACAGAACTACCAACACTGTCTATATGCTCGCCAAAGACAATTAACTTATCTCTTCAATGAGGAACAGGGCTTTCTCAGGTGGCCCTAGCGGTAAAGAACCCGCCTGCCAATGCAGGAGACACGAGAGATGCAGGTTTGATCTCTGGGTTGGGAAGACACCCTGGAGTAGGAAATGGCAACCCACTCCAGTATTCTTGCCTGGAGAATCCTATGGACAGAGGAGCCCGGCAGGCTATAGTCCATGGGGTTGCAAAGAGTCGGACACGACTGAAGCGACTTAGCATGCACGCATAATGAGAAATAACTTCCACACTAATGTCCTCTAAAAAAAACTAGAAGTGTTATTCACCTCTTGTGACAAATGCTAAAGAATAACTCACCTTGAAAACATAACAGAGACAAATGACTTAGAGGGAACACAACTGAATTTAAAATCTTATGTTGCACTAAACTGTACATTTAAAACTGATTAAAAATGGTAAGTTTTATGTTATGTATATCACACCACAATTAAACTCTGCTCTCAATCCTGTTGGTTTTTGTTGGGGAAAAAATAAATCTATCAGATTACATTACAGGATGAGAAACCATTAAATTGAATGTTTTTAAATTATATATGGTTGAAAACTTCTAGTGATTTGTATTAATAGAGGCTTTCTGACCTTTTAAGGAAGGTGTTTATTAGATATTCTTCTCTAAGGAGGACACAAACAAATGAAAAAAGCTTAAATTACAGAAAGAAAGATTTTTGACATAATTCTAACTAGGAAGGTAATTAAACACTACAATAAGGTACCATGCAAATCTCTGCCCTTGAGGGTTCAAGAATAAGCTATCTTGGAAGAGTTAAATGCAATCTTGCAGGAAAAACTGGAATGAACCAGAGAATCTTAAGTCAGCTTCGAGTTTCAAAATTCCAAGTTCTATACTCATAGCTTAATAGTGTCTTGAGAAAACATTCCACCTATAGAAAGTTAGTCTAATACACAATTAGCTTGTGTAATACACAATCTAATACACAATCTCAGCTTGGCTTCAGATACTGGGTTCCTTCACAGTACCATTTATGTGCTTTATATACTCAGGAACTGAAAATTGACTACTTTTGTTAAGAGGCAGTTCCACCAACCTCTGGCAACAGAGCTGCCAGCTCAGGTATAAACAGTACAAAACTGAAATAATACTGGGTTCTAAAATAAATAGAAATACCTACATAATGCACATCCAACCTAAGACTTTAAAAAAAAAAATCTGTTTACGGGGAAGGTAATTTATAAGGCCAAAACACTCAATTTTGTCAGTTTTCAACAGTTTCTTAGAAAGTTGCTGGTTAACAACAACAGAAAATAAATTCTTACTTTTGAAAACAAACACATGGTCTTTCCAAATAGGGTTTTATTTTAGAAGACTCATTTTAGGCCTTCATTTTAAAACTATTTTTATTTTACCACATTTTTTTAAACCATCACTAGATAACTGAATGGCGGTTATTTATTACAACCCAAAACAGGCACTTAGGAAGTCACAGTAAGGTTAATCATCTCAAATCAACAGGTTAACCACAGCAATTTGAAAGAAGTTTTGGCAACCTGTATCAGGGCTATTTCAAAAGTTTTCAAAGTCAGACATTAAATGACGCTTAAAAACAATATATTTCTAGACTTTAGATATTTAACACACAAAAATTTTGACCAAGTATGCATTCATGTATGTATTTTAGCTAGACTTTATTAATTATAATGAGCATTTGCTTAAAATAAAAATCTAACAAGACAAATTTAGCCAGGTGAACATTGGAATCAAAACACAATACTGGATTATGAAGCTAACTGCTTTCATTGGAAAAAGAATAACAAGCCTTACTTCCTTCCGTTCACAAATTTTTCACTTTATAATCAAAGAAAATAAATTCACATATGACTTCCACAGTCAAAAAAAATAGGTAATGTATTTACAGCTGAGTTATCACTTAATAGTCTGGATTCTTAAGCTACTGACTTCTAACTGCTTTAAAACCAGCATACATTTTTAATGGCTCACTCCTTTGCTCAGAAATGTATCACACCTTGTTTTACACAGAGATAACATCTTTTCAGAACACATGCTACTCTGTCACTAAGCTTAATAATTTTTAGATAAAATTCAAATAAAATTTTTATAATGCAACCATAATTTTTTTTTCTTATCCACACTGAGCCTCACCTTTCACAACACTTAAAAACAATCTTAGATGTTACACATATATACCTCAAGCATATAAAGCTTATTACATTGTTTTTGTAGCCATAATAATTGGACGAATAAATACTGACTCTAAAAAACTAAAAACTTATTAGGGCAGGATTTAAATGGTACAATTCACAAGAGGGTAGGGAGAAATAATGATTTCTACCAAACTGGCAGCAAAAATATGCCAAGTTTCCTATACTGAACTAGTGTAAACAAGGAAGAAAAGGACCTGGGGGTGGGAAGCAGGCAGGCAAGGGCACGACTCCCCTCAAGATATAGCTTTACTTCCAAATTTCACCAGGGTAATACCTCTGCTGTGTTTTCAATAACCCCTGTCACTCTCTATTAAACACACAGGCTGGGTGCTCAGAAAACGACTGGAAGCTGTAGTCCCTGTTGGACATAAAAGTGGGGATCAGAAATACTTCTCAACATCTAGGAAGTCAACCCCACTCTTACTATATCAACTTTAAAGATAAAACAACAGGAATCACCAATGATGTTACACACAAAAATATTCACACATCACCTTTGGAGCCACCACAGCTACAAAACTCGCATTTATAAGATGAGCACCACTCAGGATAGGGTTGGATGAGAAAGGGGATAAAGACAAAGCTTACAGACTCTTTCTCTGGCATTGCTTGAGGCATCCAGTAGACACGGAATAAAGGGGAGCCTGGCTCTAGAAGTCATGCCAAAAGAAACAAGATTCCACATGCCAGGAGACTGAGTACCCAACACAGAGAGCAAAGGGCAATAATCTCACGGCCTTCTGACCAAAGAGAGATGAGCTGCTTCACCTGAAATCCTTTCAAAGGAAGTTTAATGGTCTCCACTTCATCACTCACCTTGAGTGAACTCGACAACCCCTCCTCAGAGAAGGGGAAACCTTGCTTATCAGAAACAGCAAATGCTCCACCCAAAACCAAGAAACACTCCTGTAGTCTAAGTTATCATGGCCTTCTGTCCCAGATCAGTCTTCTACTAGAAGACTCCATGCCAAAGTCAAGTTCTCCATTTTCCCAAACATCTAACCACCCAGCATTTTTTCCCCCGTAAGTGCCTCTGAGATAACCCCCTCTCCCTTCCCGCACTCTGGAGCCCAGGGCTCCAATCCCGTCAGAAAAGTTCCCTCCCTCCTCTCCTTCACTTTTCTTCAGGTTTTCCGCAGACCCTGCCCCCCGGGTCTAGCACGCCCGGTCCTCCATTAGTAGATCCCACCCCTTCCCTGGCACAGCTCTTCGGAAAGTCCTCTTTCTTACCCTCCTCACTTGTCCTGTCCTCCCCTGTAAAGTTTTCCCCTTTTTTTCCTGTCTGTTCTCGAATGGAGACACACACTTTAAGAGAGACGCACAATGATCTGTTCTCAGTTCTTAACTCCCAAGTCTCACTCGTGCTCCAGGCTCTGCCACAGCACCCAATTCTCTCCCGGAGTTTCCCCTCAAACCCCGTCATCTTCAGCCTCTAACTCCATACCCCAAGCTTTTTTTCCACTCCGCAAATTCGGATTTTCCGCTTTACTTTTAGCCAACGCCACGGCCCCCTTCTTCCCAGCTGGACCCCGTTCCTCGATGCTCAAGCCCTTTTCCTCCTCTTCCCACGTTCCTCAGCCGCTAATAACACTCCTCGGAACCTCAGCACCAGCCCCCCCCACCTCCCTTCCGCCTCTCCTGCCCTCCGTGGCCCCCCAACTCTCCTCCTATGTCCACCTCCAGCCCTGCTCGGGCCCCTAATTCCTCCCAGGCCCCGAGGGCTCTCCACACGCCCTCCCCGCCCCTGGAGAGGGGTGTCCCTCGGAGCCCGCCCGGCCCGCCCTGCCGCCAAGCTCGGGTGTCCCTTCCCTTCCCCTCGGGGCCCCGAGGCCGCTGCCAGGGGCTGGCGCGGCGGCGGAGCCGGCTCACCAGTTGGTCATGTCCAGGAAGAAGGCGCAGCCGGCCGGGTTGAGCTGGAAGCCGAGCAATCGCTGAAACTCGGAGATGAGCACGTCCTTGTCCGTGGTGCCCAGGCAGCTGAACTTCTGCATCAGCTCGGGGTCCAGGTCCACGTCCATACCCTCCATGGCTGGGGCCGGACACTCGCTTCCCCGCCTCCTCACAACCAAGCAGCCGCCGCGCCGCCGGGCCCGGGGACCGGGAGGGGGCCCGCTGCTAGCTGGCGCCGCGAGCCCGCTCCGCTGAGGTAGGCCCCGGGCCTCTCACCGCCTCATCGGGGTAAACTCTCTCATGCGAGCATTTTGGGGGTGAGGAAACTGACGTCGGGAAAGAAACTAGAGACAGGGACGAGATCCAAGTACCATATTGCACGCAGGACCTATTCTTCGCAGCCAAGGCTTTGCCCCTCGCGCTGGAAGGGCTTGTTTGCATGTTTCTAGAGCTGCTTTCGCAGAGGGATAGTGCCCTGAATAGTTGGTTACCGGCCACACACTGGGTGGCACCGGTGCTGTTTTGTTATGCAACGGTAGTCTCCAGTCTCCGGAAAGTAAAGGAGGCCTCGGTGCAAACGGCAATCACGGGTCAAAGCGAACACCGCATATAATCTTCCACCCACTCCGTCAACACCAAGCCTCTCAAAATAAAGTTTTAAGTCATGAGAATGTGACCTGCCTTGTTTCGTCTTTAGAAGGCAAAGTGTTACTGTATATATAGTACATATAGTACCTGATCAAGGCCCCATTTCAAAACTAAAGAATGAGAAAGGAAGCATAGGGACTACCTTGTCTACCTCTCTTCATTCCTTCCTTCAGCAGGTTTGCCCGACACTCTCCTACATCCCTATGGGGGAAGGATGAATAAGAAATGATCTCCTGCCTTTAAGTGGCTCTCTGTCTTAAGGAAAGTAAGATCCAGAAAGTTTGTATGCCTTGTCCGAAAATACAGAGCCGCAAAACTAGAAACTTATCTTTCATTCCTATGTTTTCCGTAACAATTTCAACAAGTAGACAGATAGAATAAGAGATCAGTAGCATCTGGGGTGCCATGAGATTTTGGAAAGGCAAAAGGATTCTTCTTCCTTCTGTCCTACTACCAAATGAGACAAAGGTTTTAAAAGCTTCTGAGGTCCCACACGTTTGGAAAAAATTCTCATTCTGCCAGTTATCGGTAATCATGGTGCTTGTCCAGATTGGTGTGTTGTAAGGATTAAAGAGTTAACAATGTATAAACTCAGTACCCTGCCTGCTTCATGAGAAGCATTCAAGAAATGGTAACTAATATTGTGACCATAAACTTGAGGAGATGCCTGTGGGATTGGATAGTAGTAATACAAGTAGACAAGGATTACTTCTTCACCTGGTCCCTCTTCTACTAGACTTCTCTTACTTGTCCTCTGTTACCATATGAAGTATGTGTCCTTTCTCTTTTCTTAATAAGGGACCACCCTTTCTCCAATGATTTTTTTTTCTCCTACTGTCTGAATCTTATGGATGATGGAACAAGAACACAGAAAGATTATAAAAATCCCAACTTTACAATTGAAAGGAACTGACACTGTCTACAAGCAAAGGAATTGAAACTGAGAGAATTGATTAATCCAAAATGACACAGCTAGTAATTACACAAATTCTCAGTCTAGCACTCCATCCACTATATCCTGCTACAGTTCCCTTTTGAGTTCAATGTGGCCTTAAATTACAAAATAATTCAAAATGTATACACTTTTCCAAAAGCTGTTTTAACTTGCACATTCGTGGACTGAAGTTGTGTTGACCAAGGATCTAAAGAGGAAAATGTTATTGAAACCTTATGATTCTATTAAAATGCTGACCCAAAGGAAATTAAAAGTTCTTTGCCAACTTCAGTCAGTACTAGGGTCTCAGCTCACACCTAAACAGCCCACATAATACAAAAAGATACTTGTAAATAAGAGACCCAAATGGCTCAAAACTTCAGTTCATGATGGGAGCTATCTCAAAGCAGTTATAACTACTCCTCAAGTGAATTCTGAAACTTTTTGCAGACATTTCTGGTTCTCATGAGATTGGAGGTGATACCAAGAACTTTAATTCCCTGAAGACCAGGGATGCTAATCATCTACAATTCTTGGGACAGTGATGCCCAATAAGCATTATCTTATCCCTAACCACTGTGTGCACTGACCAAGGTGGCTGGCATATTAGATATGAAGAACCAGCCCACCCCATCCCTCCCATGGAAAGATTCCTTTGGAGGGTGGGATATGAAATGAAGGATATGAGGTGTTACCCAGTCAGAAGATTCTCAAACATGTGAATCTCCACTTGAGTCTGAGTGGTTATATAAAAACATCTATGGTCCTGCCCTGATGGCTGTGAAGATGTCTTGTTCTGTTAGGAAGATGGCCTGAAGAAGGGCTGGTTGAAAGGCAAAAGGTTAAATTGTTGAGCCTCCCTAAGAAAGGAAAACTGAGAAGCAGTATTCCCAAGGGGCTTCTAGGTACCATCTCAGGACCATGTCAGAGGATATACTTGAATATGTCACTGCCTGGAATATGCCCAAGACCTACCACTTTCTAAATTTCTTGGGCTGGTGATCTTATGTAAAAAATTTAGACTAATCCCAGATCCCCAGACCAGGTCAATTTCAGGGTTTCTTTTTCTTTTTTTTTTTCCCCAATATTTATTTATTTTTGGCTGCATTGGGTCTTTCTTGCTGTCCCTGTGCTTTCTCTAGCTGTGGTGAGTGGGAGCTACTCTTCGTCGTGGTGCGCAGGCTTTTCACTGTGATGGTTTCTCTTGTTCCAGAGCATAGGTTCTAGGCACGCAGGCTCAGTAATTGTGGCACATGGGCTTAGTCGTCCTTCGGCATGTAGGACTAGGGATCGAACTTGTTTCCCCTATGTTGGCAGGCAGACTCTTAACCACTGGACCACCAAGGAAGTCCCAGTTTCAGGGTTTCTTGTCTAATACTTGAAAATAAATTGTCCAAAGAGACATATGTCTGTGCTGTGCTTAGTCGCTTGGTCATTTCTGACTCTTTGTGATCCCGTGGACTGTAACCTGCCAGACTCCTCAGTCCATGGAGAATCCCCATGCAAGAATACTGGAGTGAATTGCCATGCCCTCCTCCAGGGGATCTTCCCAACCCAGGGATCAAACCCAGGTTTCCCACACTGCAGGCAGATTCTTTACTAACTGAGCCACCAGGAAAGGAGACATAGATACTGACAAAACAAAAGACTTTATTGGGGAGGGGCTATTGGGCAGACAGCAGGAGGGTTAGAAAACTCAGGAGAACTGCTCTGTAGCAGTCTCAGGTTTATGGTAATAGAGTTTGTTTCTGGATTGTCTCTAGCCAATCATTCTGACTCAGGATCCTACCTGGTGACTTGAGCATCTTTCAGCCAAGATGGATTCCAGCAAGCATAATTCTGGGAGGTTGGTAGAAATATGGATGGGTGTATTTGTCTCCTTTTGACTTTTCCTGAATTCATTCAGTTGGCAGTAGCTTGTTAGTTCTGCATTCCTTACCAGGACCTCCTATTGTAAGAAAACCCATACAAGTGGTTACTGTCATGCCTGATCAGGGCATGCAGTTTCAGGCCGTGATTGCCCTAACAATTTTACCAGAGCAGCTTAGATTGCCTCCAGGTCTCCAAGTTCTTGAGATGCAGAATTGCCAGAGCCAGCAAGTGGCAAGATTATGCCACAACATAAGAAACCAAGCAGGGTCCTGGGGGGCTCCCAGGTAAGGAGTCGTTTCTGTTCTCCACTCCTTGTAGTCAAGACTTCAGCCTCCATGACCTTCCCTGAATTCCAAAGGTGGATTCAAGGGAGGAGCTGGTTAAGGGAAGGGCAGCCAAGAAACCACCTGAGGCAAGATTAAAGTGATTAGAGAGGCTCATCAAGATTAGGAGGGCCCCCTGAGAAAAGATTAGTGAAGTGAAGTGACTCAGTCCTGTCTCTTTTCCACCCCATGGACTGTAGTCTACGAGGCTCCTCCATCCATGGGATTTTCCAGGTAAGAATACTGGAGTGGGTTGCCATTTCCTCTCCAGGGTGCAAACCCTGCTCACACCCTAACCTTGTCAGAAAACCCTTCAACAGATTCTCCCATTGTTGGAATACATAGTTTTTCAAGCCAGAATCCTGGGGTGTATCCTTTTGTCAGACCCAGTAATAAAGCTGTCCTTTTCTACTTCACCCAAAACTGTCTCCAAGATTCAGCCCCGGTGTACAAAGAGGCTGAGCTTTAGGTAACATAACTGATTCAGAGAATAAACAGAATCCAAATTGATATTAGGATACATTATATGACAGTAGCAACTTGTAGTAGAAAGCTGTTGGATGTGCATGCAAACTGTGATGACCTCTTTTCTCTACAAACCATTAGCAACATTCTAGCTGGCCCCCAGCAGCCGTTTCTTCCCCAGATTACCATGTCCTTGAGCCCTCACACCTCATTGATGGGACAAGAGGGAGACACTGGACCAGGATCGGCCAATCAGATTCTCTCTATCAGGAATTTGAAATTGGAACTCGGTGAGTTGGTGGAAAGGGCTCACCAAGTGGCTCAGCGGTAAAAAAAAAAAAAAAAAATCCACGTGCCAATGCAGGGAATGCAGGAGACTTGGGTTCGATTCCTAGGTCAGGAAGATCCCCTGGAGGAGACAATGGCAACCCACTCCAGTATTCTTGCCTGGGAAATCCCATGAACAGAGGAGTCTGGCAGGCTCACAAAGAGTAGGGTCACAAAGAGTAGGACACAACTGAGCTGACACAGTTGAGCATGCACAACTGATGCATGAGTTGGTGGAATAAGCTGCCAACCACAAATTGGCACTTGCCATCTACCTCTACAAGGATTAGATCAGCAGCTGCTGAGCTTCAACACCTGCTGAAAGGAGTTGGAGATCAGGAAAGAGGCACTCTGTCCTCTGGGGAAAACTGGTGAAACTGTCTTCCGATTGTTAGACCTTCTTAAGAGAAGATTTTATGAGCCCAAGTCTTGCATTCCCTCATGTCTAGGAAAGCACTAAAATCATTACAGTGACATCTGCTCCTCGTGACTAGCAGCAAGCCTCTGCCAAAAAGGTGTCCTTAACTTCACGCACCTCCCCCTTCACTAAATCATATATAACACTTGCCTTCCCTCTACCTCTTTGGAGCAGTTTCTCAGAGCTATCTGAAATGCTGACTCCTGGGCCAACTAAAACTTAACTCACAACTCTCACATTGAGCTTTTTTTTTTTTTTTCAGTTGACAAGACCTAAGCTGTGTGCTTGAAAGTGAATAATAGAAATACACAAAAAGAG